TTTTGAAGATGTTAAAGAAAATTAATGCATCATATTCTACTGACAGTAATACTATGCATAATACAGCATTCAGCTTGTTTTTCAAAATCATGAGAAACACTAAATTTACAAAAATATAGACTCACTGTAAAATGTAACTGTTCACAGCCAAAGAAGTAGACCTTTCTTTTTTTTTTTTTTTTAATGCAATCTATCAAATGCCTCACCTAACCCTAATGAAACTGACCAGCCAAGTGATTTAACAGAACTATTATCAATGAACCTATTTTTTTACTCTTACCCATTCACCAAATGGTTAATGGGGTTTTAAATCTATCGACTACACGAGGGTCATTAAGTCTGCACTTCATCACCAGTCAAAAATACTTAATCACTTAGAAATTAAAGTAACCTCCTAGTTTGCATACACCAAAAGCTATCAACTTCTTTTGTGTACATATAGTATCCCCACTCACCAAAGGGGCAAGTCATTTTTAATAATGGTACAGGATGGACCAAAACACCATCTAAAGTTTCCTCTCCAAATTGTGGTTCAGCTATGAATTGTTCCAATCATGTTATTCTGACTTTCATTTTTCAAGTATGTTGACCATCAATGAGTAGCAGCTTCAGAAATAGCTTATCCAGTAAAAAAAAAAAAAAAAAGTACGTTTCAATGTAGGCCAAATACAGAAGTAGCTCTATCTACTTGGTAATAACCTTAACCTTTCTTCCTCCTGGCCAGCATGACCCACAGTTTCAACAGAACTCATAATTCTCCCCACAAGAGACAGTGACTGCCTACAGTAGGCTTCGAGAAGAAAACATTCAAAAACAGGCCTTGTTCTCAATATTTACCCTACTGCAGTATTAAACAAGCAAAACACTTACCAATATTTCTGCTTTAATCCTATTTTTTAATGCTCTACCTCATTTCTGATTATTGATCATGTCTCCTTTATACAATACTAATATATTTGCTTCTTCGTGTAAGGGAAAAAATGTACGTACATGAATTTTAATGTTTACTTAATGTAAGTAAATGCTTTGCCTGTGTGATAACTGCATTGAGTACATATATAGAAAGATGGTACTCTCACTTTATCAAGATTGATTCTTACTAGAACAAAATGTTGCAGAAAGACACCTCAAACCATGATTAAAAAAAAAAAATACAACTACTGTTCATGGGAAATTAAAGTATGAAGTTTACCATTATTTCAAAAGTGTGGCAACTGGTTCAGTCATACTTGGCATATGTAACCTACTCATTTTGATTAATAACCTCTCAGGAACTTTACAATATTAAAGAACCAACAAAATAAGAAATGAAATTTGGTAACTATACGTATCTACAAATTAAAAAATACAGTGGTACCTCGGGATATGAACAGCTCAAAACTCGAACAATTATGTAAGTGTATTTATGTAAGTGCTTTTGTAAGTGTATTTTTGGGGGTTTGAAACGGATTACTCGGGTATGAATTAAGTTCATATCCCGAGGTACCACTGTAGTTTCATCAACAGTAATAAATACTGGAGAAAGTAAATGGCAGAAACATGAAAAATTAAATGCTTCAAAAGAAAATGAGTGTAATGGAATACCTCAGTTTTTGAGTCAATGATAAATCAGCATGCGAATGATCACTACACCGATTACTTTCACTTTATGCAAATTCACTGTTATGCAGTACCCCATTTTTATCAGTGCAATATACATTCACTACATGTGAACTGTGGTCTACAAAATTAAGTTTCAATGGCTTGACTGAGTTTAATACAGCTGCTAAGCCCCTGGAAGACAACTGCTACATAACACAAGGGACATCTACACCATGTACAAATTCAATGAGACAACAGTTAAAACAGAAAAGACGTTATCTTCAATAATGAGCTATAACAATAATCAAATCTAAATAAATTTAACTTCATACAATGTTAAAAGAACATTTTAAGAAATTAGTAAAAAGTTGGGATGCCAAATAAAGTGGCTCTTTATCCCCCTTATTAAATAAGTACATTTATATTATACTAAATATATTCAAATATAAAATAATGAAATGCTGTGTGTAGTTGCGTATTACACTGGTAATTGGTCAGAAAGCATATCACAGACTGATAATTGTTCCAATGTTAATACTGTACACAGCATAAATTAACAAAAATTACCTTCCTTGCAATTTACAGCATTTAGACAATGTGACATTACAGGTTCAAACTTCTTCGTTATTTATTTATATAAAATATTGTTCCTTCAGTTATTTACTATTGTACTGAGACGTGCCACCAAAATTCAACATTATTATTGGCATTAATATTGAGACGTGCTGCCAAAATTCAGCATTAACACTGATGTGCCACCAAAATTCAACATCAATATTGGCGTCAATATTAATGCCTAATCTGGTGATGAACTAAATAGCAAAGATCAATCCCATGATTCATATGAAACTGCAACAAATTAATTAATCTTATAGTCAGGTTAAGGACAAGAGTCGTTACTGCTGTGGCATAGAGCACGTTAGGCACAGTGTTAGAGTTCTACCTACCGTAACTCTTCCTGCCTTAGAGCTACCACCCAAAAAAGCTATAGATGACAGCAAACAGGAGACCAAAAGAAATAGGGAAACATTTTTAGAAAACCAAATTGAAGCATTTTACTTTTAGCTTGTTTGAGCGCATTAGGTAGGAATGGAGGCAAGTAATTTTAAGACTTGACATGTTGTTAAGGAGCAAGTAGGGTAACAGTTTGAAAGGATTCAGGGAAACTGGTTAACTGCACTTGAGTCCTGGAAGTGCAATGTGCAATGTCTTCACTCTGAAGGAGGGACAGGAATATTGTGGTTTGAAGCACCATCTGAACTGTGATAGGTTAGGTTAGGTAAGGTTCGTCAGAAAACTGTGATGTTTGCACAATTCTGGTAAGACAATGCCTTGAATGAGTAAAAGTGAAGATTTTTTTTCTTTTTATCAGAGCACCTTACCTCAGTCTGAGATGGCTGGTGTATTAAAAAATATAATAGTTGTCCCAGTATTCTAATTACAGTACTGGTACTTTGGCATGTGAATTACTGTATATTCTCAACAACCACAGTATAACTAATAGTAGCTGCAGAAGCAAAATTTTCTGTTTAATGAACTAATAGGGAGAAAATGGGTGGCTGATAAAGGTGACTGGTGGATAGAGGTAACATTGTTTGGCATGATCTTAATAATACCAGACAATTCTCTAACCAACGGACACTGTCCATCGTTTCCAAATTCAACTGACCTAGTAGATATAGTCTATTATTTAAGAAGTCTGTTAAATCAAGGATTTACTATATTATTATAACCATAAAAGGTAAAAAGCAATTTCTTACTCATTAAAAATACTTAGGAATCTATGATGAAGACCGAAAGTATACGAACATGGAGAAAATAATTACTGCTGGAAAAAATATTTATCCCTTACTTAAGAGGATTTTGACTCAAATATCAAATACAGGTACCATCCGACTTACGGCCAAGCTTGGTTCCGACCAACTGGTCGTAAGTCGAAATGGACGTGAGCCGAACCTTACTACTGAATATCAACATCACACTTTTGTAATTACACCTACCATCTGACTTACGACCGAGTTCGGTTCTGAGAAACTGGTCGTAAGTCGAAATGGTCGTAAGTCGAACTTTACTACTGAATATCAACATCACATTTTTGTAATGACTTTATTTTATTGTTTTATTTTGGTATTTCATGTTTTACTTTACTTTTTATGCTGTTAGTACTGTATTTTATACTCTAAGGTTTAGGATAAACACTGTGTACAACACAAATAGTTGTTTATTTCCCAGAAATTTGACATAAAAAACACGATCATAAGTCGAGTGGTCGTAAGTCGAGTGGTCGTAAGTCAAGCAGGTCGTAAGTCGGATGGTAGGTGTATTTTATTTTATTGTTTTATTTTGGTATTTCATTTTTTACTTTACTTTTTATGCTGTTAGTACTACTGTATTTTATACCGTAAGGTTGAGGATCAACACTTGTTTATTTCCCAGAAATTTGGCATAAAAAACATGGTCGTAAGTCAAGTGGTCGTATGTCGAGCAGGTCATAAGTCGGATGGTAGGTGTAGGTGAAAAAATCAATGTGACCAGGTAATAAACATAAATTATTACCATTCCTAAAACAATACTTAAGGAGTGCAAGACACAATACAAGGTTAAGAAAGTTATTAATTCAGAGAGCTTTACCTCAGACAAGTCTTCGAACCAGCACTCCTCACTGCTCTTACAAACTCTACCTCCCTCATACTCTCCACCCTCGCTAGTCTCAGATCAAGCATATTAAACCTTTAGCAGTGCTGTATGACCCAGGTGGGTTTAGCACCTAGTTTGGATTATAATAATAATAATAATAATTCAAACTAGGGAATGGTAGGTAATATACAAACTTGCACCTTGCAAGTATGTATACAAGGTGAATGAGATTCTTGGCAGTTACAGTACTGCATGCAAGCTTTGGAAATAATCTTCAGAACTTCCATTATTCTCATACATAAAATATGAGCTAAATGCATTGTGGGTATATGAATTAAAAATAAATATGCAGGAGTATGGTGAAAAATGAAAAATTCCTGGTATATAATTATAAGCAATGATATTTTTAATAATAATTAAGCATTTTAATAAATTTGCTATTAACAGGACTAAAAATTTACATACAGTAATATTTTTGTATTCAACATGCTCAAGACAACTCTAGGACAATAAACAATTTTAAAACGTGATGATAAAGAGAACATTCAGAAAAAAAATTGTTCTTCCCAAACGTGGAAACATTTACGTACAATATTCTGTAGTGACCAATTATATATTTGAAGGAATAAAAAAGAACAATTGGTATCAATGTGACAAAACTTTTAAGTCAGTTTATCAATTACAATGTCATATAATCTGGGTAAAACAAACACGAGTATATATCATTCAAAGTTATTGTTATGGAAAAAATAAAAAACATCAATATTAAAAAAATAAATTATATATTGACAAATCACAAATACCATTATCAGATTCTGTACAAAATACACATTATCGAAGTTTGATTTGTTACACGAGCTCAACTGTGAAAGTATTTTAAGTCACATTAAAGACAAACACATACAGAACAGTTAACATAGTCAAAAGACAATAGAAAACAGATCTGTTCAAAAACTTTGAAGACTAAAAGTTGTGAATTATTATATATAGCACACAATTCATACCACTTAATGGTTACATTAACAATAAATTAAAAAGAATGAATAAAGAAAGTTGAGCATATCCCAGGACTAGTGAACTCCGTGATTGATTTGCCATCACTATTTTGTCCAGCGTATCAACTGGTAAGAAACCTCTTGATATAAATAAGGCAAAAAATACATCTCCTTCAAATTCAGTTAAAAAATTTAGACAATACCAAGAAAATACAATTAATTAAACATGGCAAATAAGTACAATTAAAAATGACAATACTGAATACTTGCTCACCTCGTTCTATACATTTTCACTCCCAAAAGAGGTGGAATTCAGTCAACTCACAGACTGGACAGGAGAGAGCCACGGTAATATTAAAACAGATCTAAGTATCTGAAATATACAGTCATGCTTAAATATTGTAGAAAACAGAACATGAACAATGCAAGCAAAATTGCAGGAGGATTTTCATGGCCCTGTCAAGTTGTCTATCAGACAATTAAATACGTATAATACAGTACATACCAGAATATAAGAATATTCTTTACATAGTATGGAGTTAAATGGCCTAAGAAAGAGACTAGTCGCATCGTAAAAATAAAATGTTGTAAAACAGACAAGAGGCGACTAGAGAAATTACAATTATGAAAATAAAAAATGGTGCAAGCACATTTATGCAAAAGGAACAAGACTGAAGTCAATACAAAGAAATAATAATTTAAATATAATAATATAATGAATGTTACTGAAAAAAAAATTGGAAAGAAGGGAAGGGGTGAAGGAGAGAGGGAGAACGAGAGAAAAAAAAAGTGTGGAAATGAGTATGAGAGAGAGAGAGAGAGAGAGAGAGAGAGAGAGAGAGAGTGAGAGAGAGTGAGAGTGAGAGTGAGAGTGAGAGTGAGTGTGAGAGTGAGTGTGAGAGTGAGAGTGAGTGTGAGAGTGAGTGAGTGTGAGAGTGAGTGTGAGTGTGAGTGAGAGTGTGAGAGTGAGAGTGTGAGAGTGAGAGTGTGAGAGAGTGAGTGTGTGTAAGTGTGAGTGTGAGTGTGTATGTGTGTGTGTGTGTGTATGTGTGTGTATGTGTGTGTGTATGTGTGTGTGTGTATGTGTGTGTGTGTGTATGTGTGTGTGTGTATGTGTGTGTGTATGTGTGTGTGTGTGTGTGTGTGTGTGTGTGTATGTGTGTGTTAGTTACCATTTTGTCCTAGGCACATGTCGATTAGACACTAGGCACTAGTGTGACACTAGTGTGTGTGTGTGTGTGTGTGTGTGTGTGTGTGTGTGTGTGTGTGTGTATGTGTGTGTGTGTGTGTGTGTGTGTGTGTGTGTGTGTGTGTGTGTGTGTGTGTGTGTGTGTGTGTGTGTGTGTGTGTGTGTGTGTGTGTGTGTTATTTATAGTACAGTATTTACAAAAAAGTAGACTGTTTAAAACAGCAATAGTGGGTCAAAGAATATTCACTTGTGCTATAATCAATAATGGTCGCCAAGTTTAATGTCAAATTTTATACAACAGCTGAGAATGACTGACTGGTGATTTATTATTTTTCACGATAAATTATGCACGTGGTATGCAAGAGATTTAACTAGCATTACATATGAGCTTTATAAAAAAAGTAATTTTAAGTGCAATACAGCCTCTCCTCACTTAACGATGGAGCTCCGTTCCTAAGAACACGTCGATAAACAAATCTGTCGCTAAATGAGGAGCATACTATAATGGTAGTGGGTTTGTGTCAACTATTTTTTATATTGTTTTAATGTCACCTCTACACCATTTATAACATTTCTGGTATATTTTTAAATGTCTATACAGTAGCATACTGTATATTGTAATAAACAGAATAGAGGAAATCAGCTCTAATATTCATCATACTGTATATTTATGCATACTATTCAGAGCCCGTCGTAAGTCCGAGGCGTTGGTAAACGAGTACGTCGCTATGTGAGGAGAGGCTGTATTTAGAAAATAACATGAAAAAACAACTTTACAATAGCAACAGGGGAGCTGCAAGGCTAAAAATTTATTGCACGTTATCTTCAAGAGGAGCAGTCTTTAAATAAGCAGCTGAAGTTTATACCAAAGCAATGATCACCAATCCAGTTCACACAAAGAATGTTATACAATTGCTGTGTTAGTTAAAAACAGCAATATGAATAAAAATTTACCATCATATTTTACATTAACATCAGACAATATCTACCTAATAAATTCAGATCTACATTCATGTTACATGTACTTACAATGAGTGATATGTTCAGGGTGACTTTAAATGTCCTGTCTATCCTACACTTTGGTCTGAATAATAGTTTTTTGTGTTTTTAATAATGTTATCTCCAGTAGCAATGAATAATATGATACATGGACTATGATATTACAAATGTAAGTCATGAGACAAATGTAACATGAGCATATGAAAGACATGTTTGTAGTTCATGAGTACTAAAACTCCTCATGATTATCTTGGCATAGAGTTTGAGCAGCAATTCAAGGAGGAATATTATAATACACATATACTGTACATGTAATATACACATTACACCAATCTTCACTGACATTACAATTAACCCTAAGCCCAACCACGTTCCTCAGAGGGAGGACTCTATGGGTGTAATAACTGGAGGTGGGGGAGGGGGAGCTGAGGGCTTTACTACAGGACTCGGTCTCCCTGAGGATGGTGGTTGTGGTGCTCGAGGTTTTGGAGAATTGCTTCCACTTCCTGGAGGTCTTGGTGGAACTACAGGTTTAGGTCTACCTAGAGTACCAGTGCCACTAATGGGTGTGCCAATGGCTATCCTGGCAGGTACTGCAGGCCTTTCTGTTGTAGCAGGTACAGGGGGAAAGTAGTTTCTGCCTGCATTCTCTCCAACATGGATGTCCTCATCAAAACTGTAGGAGTGTTGTGACCTATACAAAGAATCGTTATATGATGGAATCCCCTGCTGGGAACCTTGAGAAGTGCTCTGCTGTGATTTTGGGGAAAAAGAAGAAACTGTGCCTCTTGTCTTTGGTGAACCATCATATGCAGAAGCTGGAACAAAATTTGGTGTCCATGAATCTGAACCAGTAGCAGCAGATTGGGTAGAACTTGGGCCAACAGAAGCACTAATCACTGGGTTTCTACTAATGTCATTTCCAAGAGTTCCATTTTGTGCAGCCTGCATCTTTGCTTCTATACGCTTAGACATTTCTTCCAAGTCAATGTACTCATCAGTTCTTAATGAAGGAGGAACATCATCTTCACAAATATTGTGAAGAGAGCCTTTACTTCTGCCTATACTGAACTTGCTAAATAGACCCTTCGGTGCCATTTTTTTGGGAGATTCTTCCGCCACATGTAAAGAAGCCAGACTCATAGACCTTTTGTTATGATAACTGGAGTCAAGCTGCTCATCACTAAGATTATGTAATGATGCTAAACTGCCAGTCCTACTATATTTGCTCTTCTTGCTTGATGTGTTGCTCACTGCATCTGGATTGTTGGAAACCCCAACTATATTAAGAGAAGCTACACTTGAACTCTTCTTTGCCTTTCCAAATACAAATCCTTTCATTTTATTGTAAAGAGCCTCTGGTTCCTCTTCCATTACTTTGTCTTTGGTAGGCTTTAAGAAAGGTCTCTGTAAGAAGGCTAGGGGATCAACATACATGGCTCTAGGCTGTTCAATTCGCACAGGTTCTGGTGATGGAGGAGCTTCTGGAACAGGTTCACACTCTACTTCACCATCATATCCAATATGAAAAGGTTCTGGATACTTTACTATTGGTGGTACTGACACTGATGGCTTAGGTGGGGGAGGGGCTGGGCGTGTTGGCCTCCGCTGCAAAGGAGGTTGCTTGCGCCGACCAAATATTGGTATGGTGTAAATGTTTTTCTTTCTCCACATTATGTCACAGTCAAAGAACTCACAACAATCCTGAACTGGATCACTTAAACAAAATTTCATGCAAAATCCTGGACTATCATCACTACTCATTTCATTTGTCACTTGTCTGGGCTGTGACCTACAATCAACAGCATCTTTATTTGGTACCAAACGTATTGGAGTCCAAGCTTGACTCCCATTTTCAATTCCAAGGTTATGTGGAGATTCATCTTCACTATTTAAAGATTTTTTCTTTTTCTTTTTTTTCTTTTTGCAAGAGCAACAAGGGAAACAACCACAGGGATTGTCATTGGTCTGGAGGTACCATTTACACGAGCAAAATGCAGCAACCCCAAATATTAATACTACACCAACAACAACAGCAATTATCACATACAGCTGAAAATTATCAATTCTTCTCATCTCATCAGCTAACAAACAGTGTTTAAACTTTTGTGCCTGAATATAATGAAATTTTGCTTGAGGTCTGTAGTCAAATTTGCACACACATTCATGATATTCTAATGTGGCATTGGCATGTTTACCCCCACACACCTCCAAGGGATCTTTCCTCCTGAAAATAAAAAAAGAACAAAATCAGATACATGTATATATATATATATATATATATATATATATATATATATATATATATATATATATATATATATATATATTATATATATATATATAATATATATATATATATATATATATATTATATATATTATATATAATTATATATATATATATATATATATATATATATATGTTGTGTATCTTTATACGTATATGCTTCTAAACTGTTGTATTCTGAGCACCTCTGCAAAAGCAGTGATAATGTGTGAGTGTGGTGAAAGTGTTGAATGATGATGAAAGTATTTTCTTTTTGGGGATTTTCTTCCTTTTTTGGGTCACCCTGCCTCGGTGGGAGACGACCGACTTGTTGAAAAAAAAAAAAAAATATATATATATATATATATATATATATATATATATATATATATATATATATATATTATATATATATATATATATATATATATATATATATATATAATATATATATATATATATATATATATATATGCATGCTGCATATTGCATAATTTGTCTATGTAAGTTAATTAAAAGTGTATCCCCCCACCCAATGGTTAATTACAAATGAAGAAAAGTCACAGTATCATAGCTGGAACAATTCACAACCTACAAAAAGCAGGAATGAAAACTGGATGATATTGAGGTCATCCTAGCCATTAGCAAGTCAAAAGTGTCTGAACAGGAAGGTGGCTTTGTTTCCCACGTTCTGGGCTGAATATTTTTCATGCATGACTAATTACAAATAAAATATTCTCTACGAAGATATACAGAAATACAGAAATAAATAAAATAAAATAAAATAAAATTTCTTTGCTAAGGTTACAATGTGTGTTTATACTGCATTTCATAATTTGACTGGTGCAAAGAAAGCCACTATCATGCCAAGGCATTTCGGGCAGACTTAACCTAATACTTATAAACAACTTAAGTCTAGACAGGTGAAGACTGGTAGAATACAAATATTCAATACTTTACTCTATTATTAATATGAGGTAGTACAATGTATGATACAAATAGTATACATTTTAAAGTCTGTAATAATGGCTTAATAGTTAAGGGAAAACAAAATATTTGGGAGAGTTGCTTTAAATTTGGTTAGAGTTTAGCATAGTGTGGGTATGATTGTTATTGAGAGATTAGATGATTTTTTAGTGTAATCCTAAATTGATTTGTGGGTAGGGGACCTCTTGCTGTTTTAGGCAAAGAGTTCCAGATCTTCGGGCCCTTCATGTGCATTGCATTTTTGCATAGTGTGAGACGGACACGAGGGATGTCAAAAAGTGTTTTGTGCCTCGTGTTACGCCTATGTGTTCTGCTGAAGTTGTCTAGGAGAAGTTTGAGTGGAGGGTTGATACTGGAGTTGAATGTTCTGTATATATAGCAGGCACAGTGGTAAGTGTGTATATTTTGTATATTAGTACATTCAAGCTTATGAAGAGTGGTGGGGTATGTTGTCCGGTACTAGAGTTTGTGATCATCCACACCGCAGCATTAAGTTGGATTATTAAAGTAAGGTGAATGGCCGTGGTACATCCCCAAGCACAAATGCCATAGGTGAAGTAAGGGTATATTAGAGAGTGATATAAAGTAAGGAGCGCCCTTTGGGGTACATAGTATCATATCTTGGAAAGGATACCTACTGTTTTGGAAACTTTCTTAGTTATATGCTGGATGTGGGTCTAAAATTTAAGATTACAATCAAGATGGAGACCTAGAAATTTGTCCTCAGTGTGCCTTGTAATGGGTGAACCATTTATCGATATATTTAGCTGGATATTTAATGCTGTTTCCAAAAAGCATGAAGTAGGTTTTGTCTATATTGAGAATTTGTTGGTAGTCATCCATTTTGATATTTTAGGTAGCTCACTGTCTAATGTTACTAAGTATAGTAGGGTTTGGGTGGGAGAAGACGTAAGTGGTGTCATCTGCAAATAGAACTGGTTTAAGGAGTTGTGATGCATTTGGGACGTCATTGATGTAAATAAGCAAGAGTAGAGGACCAAGGATACTTCCCTGTGGCACTCCAAAACCTACAGGCTGAGTACTGGAGGTCATGCCATTTGTGTATACATGCTGGTGTCTACCACTAAGATAAGATTTTTGGTAATTGAGTGTCCTCTGACCCTATAATGCTCTAGTTTTAGGTGCAAGATATTGTGGTCTACTGTATCAAATGCTTTCTGTAGGTCTATGAAGGACCCCAGAGGATATTCATCTTTTCAATTGCTGTATACAGTAATTTGAGCATCTGAATAATTGCATCACTCATGCTTTTTTTCGGCCTAAACCCAAACTGACAGCAGTTCAGTATGTTATGGGATAGGAGGTAGGAGTAGATTTGTTTATATGTATATTATTGTTTTGAAGATTTTAGAAAGGCAAGTTAGATATTGGTCTGTAGATATTTAGTTCTGTAGGAATATAGATGGGAATGTTGAAGAATCAACAGATTTGTTAAATAGTGTTGCAATAATGGGGAGAGCACATAAGCTGCTTTTTTATACATTATTTTTTATTATTAACACATCGGCCATTTCCCACCGAGCCAGGGTAGCCCGAAAAAGAAAATCTTTCATCATCATTCACTCCATCACTGTCTTGCCAAAGGTGTGCTTACACTACACTTACAAAACTGCCACATTAACACCCCTCCTTCAGAGTGCAGACACTGTACTCCCCATCTCCAGGACTCAAGTCCGGTCTGCCGGCTTCCCTGAATCTCTTCAAAGGGATCTAATGGACTATGATTTAACAGATTTTACAGATATTATCATTATTATTATTATTATTATTATTATTATTATTATTATTACTATTATTATTATAAATATGTGGCTGGATAATGTTCGAAGCAACAGAAACATCAATTGCATCCAGAATTTTGTTACTTCTATGATCCATTATTTTTAAATTTCTTTTGAATCTTCTTATACCAACAGGACATCCCATATTTTGTGTTCTTTTATAGTACATACAGTATTAGCATGGAGTTACAACATATACAAAATACATTCAACATATATAGTATTTAATAATATGCATGGAATATTTAAAAGGTATTTTACAGTGTAATGAAATTAAGTCATAATAAACAACTGTCAATGAATAATGTATTTATATACTGTGTGATGCATTGTTCTGGTTGCTGCACTGGGAAGTCATCTAATTATATGAGAAGATACACCAGCACCAGAAAAAGAGTGCCATAGAATGCTAATACTATCCAAGTAAAAACAACAACTTTTTCAATTAGGTAATAGGCAAAAATCGGCAGTTTGGAGGGACGTCTATACTGTTACATCTGAGCACCTCTGCAAAGAGTGATTATGTATGAGTGTTGAATGATGAAAGCTTTTTCTTTCCATTTCGGTCACCCTGCCTCGGTTGGAAACGGCCGGGTAAAAATTCTTGGAAAAAAATTAAATGAAATTAGATAAGGATTATGGCTTGGGAATGCATTAATCTATTTAACAAAAGAACTGAATATAAGACTTACAATGATTTTTCAGGAACTCATTGTCTTAAGCAGAGACCCTACAGTACTGGGCATATTTAAGAGTACGTACAGTACTTAGAATGTACTCTTCTGAGAAGAGACAAGACATACCTGATACTGTACTATATCTCAAATATAAATATATTTAACTTGTATTTATATTTTTCATGGAAGATACTCTAGGGTCTGATCCTAAATCTGCACACTACATAATATCTTCTAGGAAGGAGATTTTTCCCCTGTGACCTATTTTGGAAGTTTTCATACTCCTGTACCCTAGCCTTGGACCCAGCCTCCCTACCTGGAGTTTACCTGGAGAGAGTTCCGGGGGTCAACGCCCCCGCGGCCCGGTCTGTGACCAGGCCTCCTTAGGTCAGTGTCCCAGGATGCGACCCACACCAGTCGACTAACACCCAGGTACCCATTTTACTGATGGGGAACATAGACAACAGGTGGAAAGAAACACGTCCAATGTTTCTACTCTGGCTGGGAATCGAACCCAGGCCCTCACCGTGTGAAGCGAGAGCGTTAACCACCAGGCCACCAGAGCCCCTACTGTTTGCCTGTTCAACAAGGTTGTCACTGCTGGCAGACCACCAACCCAGCCAAGTTGGTCTAGTATGCCGGAGAGGTACAAACCAGACGGCGGCAAACTTTTTTGGGTATTACCCCAAAACAAATTTGTGTACAGGAAAATTACCCACTAGACTTGAAAGCCACAGAATCCATAAAAGGAGCATTCATACAAGCTGAAAAGCATGTAATACATGTGATAAATCAACTTAATAAGAGAAAAGAGAAAATAATAAAATGAAACAATAAACAGCATGAAATTAAAAATAGTAACAGACAAATTTAATAAAAATCTCATTAGGGAATTAAAGAAGTCTATTTAAAACATTTTCACTTCAGGTTTTGGAGAAACCTGAAACAAAAAATTATTTGTTTGAAAAATATATCTTTCATATTTTGCTTCGCTTATTAAATAATAAATTTTTGTGCAATTTTATTTATGTTTATTGAGCCCTCATTACCCCCGAGATTTTTGTTTTTACCCCGTTTGGAGTAATTTACCCCAGTTCTGCAACCTAGGGTATAGATCCAGTTTCCCTTGAAGGCTGTTACATTTGATCCGGCAATATTTCTGAAATTTCCTAGTAGTAGGTTGAAGTCTGGTCACAGATGTTGATATAGCGTTCTTGTATTGTGCCTGTGGCTTCCCTTCTTTTCACTGAGGGTGGGAGAGAGAGAGAGAGAGAGAGAGAGAGAGAGAGAGAGAGAGAGAGAGAGAGAGAGAGAGAGAGAGAGAGAGAGAGAGAGAGAGAAGGGAGGGAGGGGAGGGAGGGGAGGGGAGGGGAGGGGAGGGGAGGGGAGGGGAGGGAAGGGGAGGGGAGGGGAGGGGAGGGAAGGGAGGGAAGGGAGGGAAGGGAGGGGGGGAGGGGGGGAGGGAGGGGATTGGAAGGGAGGGGAGGGAAGGG